TGAATGAGTATGAAACTCAGTTTAATCAAAGAGCAAGGTTTGCTACAAAGTATATTCCAACTGAAGACGAGAAAATTCAGTTATTCATGGAGGGACTTCGGCACAAAATCCATGATTTCGTTGCCAATCGAGAGGTTCTGTCATTCGATAAAGCCGTTGAGTATGCTCGAAGACGCGAGCATGACTTAGAAATACGTGGTGCCACTTTTACTGTTCCGAAGCATCCACGTACTGAAAGAATTGTTACTGTTCCGAAGCATCCACATATTGAAACTATTGTATATAGTAATCATGTATGTATAACTTATAGTATCCTGGGAAGTTATGTGACATATAAAAATTTGTAATAGTCGGTTTGTATCCAGTCTTATGTAAACAACTTATCAATGTAAAATATTGTTTTCATGAATATGCAAGTAGCATGTTTTGGAGTAACAATTGTCGAGTATGAAAGGTTAGGTCTTTCAAAAATACGAAAGTTCAGAAAGGGGTTCTTTCAGTTTTGCATCAACGCATCCGTTATTGGATGTTATAAAATGTAATTCCATGTGTGGCATGATGAGTAAAGGTTATGATTATGTAGTCAAAGTTTATTCGTTCATTTTTCCTATCAAGGAAAAGCGATATCTTTGGGCCCCTCAGTGATTTGATGTTGACATTATAGTGTTGGGCCCAGCCTGGACTAAATTGATGTGTTTAATTCATAGTCTAATGAAGTCATCATAAATCGGAAATCTTGAAACAAAATCTTGGACCATGAGATTGATTTGTATCCATGTATCGTGTCCATACGATATCTTTCAGAACGAACGATTAGTTGATCACTTATCTTAGGGCTGACGCATGATTTAATCAAAGTTTGGTGGTGGCTTTGGAAAGCACTATTTACTGGTTATTCAAAGTCTATACTCGCAGCTGTAGTTGATGACTTAATTAGTTGATCACTTATCTTTAAGAGCGAATGATTAGTTGATCACTTATCTTAGGGTTTGCTCACCAGCCACATACGCCCAGCATACGCATGAGTACGCTCAGCATACGCACATAAGCATGTGTCCCTCATTAAAGAGTTACGCCAAGCGTACCCCCCCCCCCCCCCAAGTAGGCTCAGCGTAGGGACCAACTTTGCAACAATATATACTCTTAGGGTTAAAATGGAAAATACCTGACGACTGGGTGTTACAACCTTCATAACCATAAAATAGCTACAATTGATATTAGGAGAGAGATAAAATGATTTGTTAATTTTGGAATTAATTAGAATTAGTTAAAGGTATAAAGGTTAAATTGAAACTATTCAATAGTTGAGCAAGGGAGGCAATTCTAGAACCTCCCTATGCATGAACGGTTTTGAGAGGTTCCAGATATATTTTGGAAGCCTCCAATAGCTGATAAGGAAACTAATTTGAATAAGTTTAAAATATTATTATTTTATTATTCAAATTAGGGTTTCTACCAATATAAATAGGGAACTAATCAAGGCTTTCAAGAACCCTAGCATTCTTGTGAAAAGTTCAAAAATCCCATCTTCCTCCTCTCTCCATAATTACGATCCTAGTGTTTTTAGGGTTTGGGTGTGAACCATTAGAGGCATCCACATTATTGGTGTTTTCTTTTTGAAGGAGATTCAAAGAGGGTTGTTTGCATTATTCGATTTTCACAAAAGGTATGTGTTCTAACTTTGTAATTTTCGATTTACATAGGTTAGAAGTTTGTTTAATAAGTACGTTGCTATAACTTGAAAAAATGCCATAGACCTCTGGGTTGCATATACCCATAATATAATTATGATTCCGTTGCGAAATTATTCTTGTTTGTAACCTAGAAAACCAATTAATGAGTACATGTCACTTAAGCAGACAATGGAATAGGTGACGGAATCGCTCAAGCAGAAAACAAACTTGGTTCATCGTGCTATATCCCTATTGTTTACAAACAGATTGTTGTTATTTGGTAAGGCCTAAAAGTGAAATGATGTCACTGATGTTGGGTTAACTGTGACGATATGTTTAAAAGTCATAGCAATTTGGCTCCTAAAGCTATTTTTCTAATCGTCCTTGAGGATAAAGGTCAGTTGTTATTACTATGCGGACTCTAATGTTGAAAAGTTTTTTCAAGACGCCTAATATCTCATCAAGGAGCTTCACAACTGCAAGGTCTCTCAAGGTTTTCAAGCCGCCATGTTGTCAAGGTTAGGTTAGGTGCGTTTGTCCCAATTCAAAGCTACTAAAGTTAAAGGTTTTTTAGGGTCTTTCAATTTTTAGGTTTTTCTTGCTATCAACTCCATACTTTGACATATTCATGGTTTATTACATGATTAGATTATAAAATTGTTGGAGTTGGAGCATTATAGAGTTGAATAATAAGATTGTTAAATCATATCATTAATTTGTTAAACTCTTTAGGATTAAGATAAAATCTTTTATTTTTTATCACCTCATTTGTAGCATTAGCTCATAAAACTATTTGGATCATAAACTGATTGAAATGGATCATTGTAGAATTTAGGATCATAACATATTTGTAAATATATAACTAGTGCATTATAGTGCTTTGGATAATATCATATTTGGATCACAAAATTCATCTTATTTATTTTCTTTTGGATCATAACAGTTTTTGTATCATAACAACTTTTTGTTTTTTGGTCATAACAAATTAATGATCATAAACATTTTGTTAATCATAACATATTTGGATCATATCATTTTCATTCAAATCTAGTTTTTTCATGTAGGCTTTGGTTCATAACAAATTTTGGTCCTTATGGATCATAACATTTTTGAATCATATAATTTTAAATCATACAAGATAGGATTAAGGATCATAACATTTTAGAAACATAATTCCATAAATGGACGAATTTTTCAAAGTCTAATGCTATATTTGAGTATATTTGTGAGATTATAATGTCATGGTTTTGAACAATTTAAAGGACAATGCTATAATTAGTTCAAACTTAAAACTATGTTGCTATTAATGTACTGATACAGTTTGGATAATAAGAGTATTGCCATATTTATGTATATTTTGCAAAGTCCGTACCTTAAATTAGTAAATGTTGTGATTGAAATAAAGTTATTATATATATATATATATATATATATATATATATATATATTGCAAAGTACATCATGCATATATTTTGAATCATAAAAACTATTTCTTGTGTGGGCTATCTAATGGATACAAAATACATAGCTAATAGAAACAAATATACACACTAAGAGGATGTTAATTGGTTAAGAATTAAAATAAAAAATTATAACGAACAAATTATGTGATAATGGACAAAATTAAAGTATGATCGGTATTTAATGCAATCAAAAGTAACAAGAAGAGAATTGAAGAAAATAATATTATATTTATTCTAATAAATAAAAATTATTTATGTCATTTGTCATCTTCTTATGTATTATGTCAGATGTCACTTTGTGATAATTTTAGATTAAATTATATCAACATGTCATTTTGCGGGTTTTCCATTTTATTAAATTTCATGTAATATTTAACTATAATAAATGTAATAATAAATTCATATTCAATTCCTTAATGCAACTTTCTTTATAATTTCTAAATTTTTAAATTGAATCCAATTATTTTTGTTATTTATTTATTTAAATTATTTGTTTAAATTTAAAAGATAAATAAACACTTCAATTTTAATAATTAAATATTTTTCTTTTTTTTTCTTATAAATTCAAATTTTCTAAAATTTTAGATCTTCATATTTGTTTATTTTTTTTTTAATAAACTCATGTTGTATATATGTAAATCTCTTAGAAATTTAAAAAATGTATATGAATTATGAAAGTGCAACTTAATTAACTTTAATAACATGTTTTATTGTAAAATTTGTTTAGTTGAACAAAAATAGACCTATATAGTATATAGATCATTTCTCGAATATGTTGTAGTAAAAAAGATTTGACTGTGCATATTTTTTCAGCGCGAAAAATGGAATCAAAGTCTTCCAGCAGAGCAGCAGTGAACAGGGACCAAGAGTAACTCTCAATTGTTAAAGATAAAACCAAGTCAATGAAGGTGTGCCGGAGCAAAGACAGTAGCAAAACCCTACTCGTTCATGGAAGATTGGAAGGTACAACAATTTCTGCAAATTTATGTCTTAATTTGACATAACGTAAGATTATATAGAAAAATCTACAGAAAAATACAAATCACGCTGTTTCGGGCGAAAGAGCAATATAATCATTATGTCTGACTATGAGAAGTCTACGACTACAGCCTTATTATGCAGAAAAATTATACACACGAAACATTCCAGCTTCTCAAATTCTCTCTAAATTGTCAATTATCTCTAACCATCTTCTTCTCTACCGGTATGGATGCTGGATCTTCCTCGTCCTTAGAGTTGCCACAGCAGTTCCGTCAGTTTACAATTTCTGAGATTCACTCAGCAACCCAAAACTTTGATGAGTCATTGGTAATCGGGCGAGGGGGTTTTGGCATGGTTTACAAAGGAACCATCGCTAATGGATCAACTCATTTGGTTGTCGCTATTAAGCGCCTGGATTCAACCTCTAATCAAGGCGCAGCAGAGTTCTGGAATGAAGTTCAAATGCTTTCTAAGTTAAGGCACTGTCACTTGGTGTCTTTGATTGGTTATTGCAATGATGGGCAAGAGATGATCCTTCTTTACGAATATATGCCCCATGGAACCCTTGAAGATCATCTTCACAAATTCCAGAGTCCTTTACCTTGGGTCAGACGACTCAAAATATGTATAGGGGCCGCTCGCGGGTTAGATTACCTTCACACTGGTACAGGTATTAAGCATGGAATTATACATCGCGATGTTAAAAGCTCAAATATATTGTTAGATGACAGCTGGGCTGCTAAGATTTCAGATTTTGGGCTGTCAAAACTTGGTCCAATAAATCAACCATCCACTTATGTTAACACTTTTGTGAAAGGCACGTTTGGATACCTGGATCCAGACTACTACGCAACGGGCAGGCTGACAAGAAAGTCTGATGTGTATGCCTTTGGGGGTAGTTTTATTTGAAGTCCTGAGTGGAAAACAAGCGGTGGATAGTAGTCTTGATGAGGAGCATTGGGGTTTAGTAAATTGGGCTCAAGAATCTATCAGAGAAGGTAGGCTAAGCCAAATCGTTGATTCTTATATAAGGGAGAGAATCTTGTCTAAATGTTTGAAGGAGTTTGCACGGCTTGCAGATAGCTGTTTGCATAACAATCCAAAGCAACGACCTACAATAGCCGAGGTTGTGGCGTGTCTTGAATCTGTATTAGCCTTACAGGAAAAAGCCAATTACACCTTGCACCCTCCAGGCATGAAAATATTTGGTAATAAGGTGCCAATGTTTCTGTCTTCATTCATTGAGGATAAATCTGGTAATATATTTCTCCTGGTTTCTTTGTTTGTTCTCATGCATACGCACACAAACTGATTTACTTGTGGATGTTTGCATGTATACATGTATTGCAAGAACATATATATGTATTTTCAATTTGTGTTGATGAGTAGGTAAGCATAAAGAAGTCTGATAATTTTGCAGTTGAATAGAAGATATTTCCTTCATTAAGGATCAACAATACATTATGATTTACATATCTACCCCAAATGGTTATTGCAAAACCAGTTGGTATTTTTTTGCCTGGTTTCGCATGTCAACAGGGGACAAAAACTGTATTTTGTTCCCTAGGGCAGCTCTTTTCTGCTCTCTCTCATCCTGCATTTTCTTCTTGCATTGTAATTTATTCGGTTGATATTCCTTTGGCGATTTACAGTTGTACTGGTTTGCATGTCAAAGTTTTATTGCAACTTCTTCATGGTTCTTGGCTTCTTGCTTCCTCTGTTTTGATTCCAAATGAATCAAGATTAAATGACTTAGTGCTGCCATGATTGCCTATTGTTTACCTTTACATATTTCATAAATAACTTCGTTACCTTAGTCCTTACATGGTTGATAGCATAGTAATCTTCATGGTTAGGGATCAAGGGTGTTTTGTGTTTTGATCTCATATTCATATTCAATCAGGCTTGATATTTTTATTGGCATTTCTAGAAAAAAAAATCTTTGTCTGTTAGGGATAGATGTTATGCATGTGACTCTGTTGTGATTACTTCAAGAGCGCAATTTAATGGATGAATATCCATCCTTGAAAAAATATCATTAATTTCCGTGGGTGACTCGTTCTCCTTGTTCATTGTCTCTATTTTCTTTTCATCCATCCTTGCAAAATTTTCAAGAGCGCAATTTAATGCCTTTTTTAATCTAAACTTCTTTTCTATCCCTAGTTTATTTTGACTTACCCATCCTTCTCTCACCTTTGATTGATCCAGGGGCGAGGAATCTTAGGCTTTTCCAAGCTGACAAAACCCTTATTTCTTTTTACCCATTACACATGTCATGTCCCTCATCATTGGTGTCACGAGTAAAGTTAAATAATGCTTTATTTTACAATTAGCGACTGCCGTCCTTCTGTTAGTAGTCAGTTACAGGGGCAAATTAGCGACTGTCGTCCGTCTGTTGCAAATGCCTCTTTCTGAAGTATGGGGGGCCTTTTATGAAAACGAAATCCACAAAAAATAGGATGGACATAAATTCGGGAATGCTGCATTTTATTGCATTAGATATGCTTGTATTTCTTAATTTGAAAATCATATGACTCATTTGTGTACAAAACTCAGAACATATACCTGGTCTGTTGAATGACATATTCTATGATATCATACAATCCTCTACTTTTTTATTCGTTTCTAACAGTTTTTTATTTGTAGTTGGGAGTAAAAGATCTTTGGATATATACTTTGGTACTATTGGAGGTGAAAACAGAATATTACGTAGGTTTGAGTTCCAAACTATCATTGTCGCAACTGAGAACTTCTCTGAGACTAATAAAATTTCAGCCTGGGGCGATGGTGAAATTGAGGCCATGTACAAGGTTTACGTATTCATTTATCTTATCTAATTACATTATTTCCAGGTTTCCAAAGATTGTTAAAACTTAAACCTGATTTCTCTTTTCAGGGAAGGCTTCAAAATGGACAAGGAGTATTGATTGCCAGACACGATTCCAATTCCTATTACCAAGAATATAAAAATGAGGTGTCATTACTAGTACAACTTGAGCATGAGAATTTGCTTCACTTGCTTGGATATTCCATCGGAGGAACACAAGTATTCCTTGTCTATGAGTTTGCAGTCTATGCAAGTCTAGATCGCTTGATAAAAGGTACACTTCTTTTTTTTGAAACATACATCACATGTTTATGCCTTATGTCACGGCTTGGTTCAAAAGAGGGCATATTGCACCCTCTTGAAAACTCGTGTTGGAGTTGAAGAGCAAGTACGCACCACCTATTAACCTTAATTTTTTCTAAAACTTCATACTCGAATGAAATATATTCTAGATATGTCTTTGTAGATCATGAATGTACTCTATTGGACTGGAATAAGCGCAACAAAATAATCCTAGGTGTTGCTAGGGCACTTCTTTACCTTCACCAGCATGGTCCATTTCGGATCATACACTGTGGTGTCAATCCTGAAAACATTCTTTTAGATGAAAGTTTGGACCCCAAACTGTCATCTTTTGGATTTGCAAGATGTTTAGCAATAAGCGAGGCTGATTGCATCAAAGAGAAGAGCGTAGGTGGGATTCCGTAAGTACATACCCATTTATCTAGAAATTTTCATTTTAGATCTCATGCTCTTGTCTTGAACTCTACAGATGTCCTCTTTCTTAGTGATCCCATTGGATCCAACAAAAAGGGAACTGCTTTTTTGGATCACGGTGGTGACTACTAGGGTCCTTGAATTATCTAAGAATATATTATTCAAAACTTGCTTTATTCTTGTTTTCGCACAACAAAGGTTGTGAAAGCAACTTGCTTCTTGGTTGGTACCATTTGGGCATGGTTGCATGGAAGTGTTTAAACCTAATATGTCACAGTTGCTGTGAAGCCCAGATGACCACTTTGGTCACTTAGTAGTAGTAAAGCTAAAGCATCGGAGATGCTTTGACTCTTTCATATATTCTTCCACAATTGAAAAGTATTTTTGACTCGGTTACGGTTCAAATTAAGTGCGCAAGTACTTTAAGCTCGAGACATAGTTGAATGAAAGTGAGTATTTGAAAAGTATATGTATGATATGATTGATATCCCTTAGTAATTATAAACTTTGAAAAATCTTGTAAACTATTAACAGTTTTGATTGATAAAGATGTTAGTATATAGGTATTAGCTGGCAAGAAGGTAATTTCCAACTGAAACTTCCCCAAGATTGAAAAATATTGCATTTGTTATAGGACAGCCAGAAAGAGAGATGTTGCATTTATTTGGGGGAGAGAGTCCTTATTTTTGGGGCAATCAACTCCTTAATTATAGTTTTAGGAGAAAAGTTTATAACTAATGGTAAAACTGACTTAAGTTAAACTTCGTACGGTCTTAATATACTTGAAGAGTTGAAGGAAAATTGAGTATACCATATAAGAGTTTCCCAGATACTTTTATGTTTGCTAATACCTGCTATGTCACTGCTATGTGTCACAGGGGATATATTGCACCAGAAGTATATCAGACTTATCGTCTGTCAACTAAGGCTGATGTGTATAGTTTTGGTGTGTTGATTTTGGTAACCATAACTGGGTGTACAGTACCCAATCATTACCTTTACAACTCCAGTGGCCACATGACCTTTGAAGAATATGTAAGTATGATTATGGATGATCAGATTCTATGATTGCCTATATAATCTAAAGTACATATATTGATGTTTTAAAATTGACCCAAGCATATAATTTGACATGGATTTTCATACCAATTTATTGTCGACGTTTTTCAACTTGTAATTTGCTTTTCTATGCAATTACCAATTTTTGACAAAATGTTTGAGTCATAGAAAAGATGCTTGGTTATTCATTTTTGTTACGTTTGTGGGTCTTAATTATTTGGTGTGAGAGAGAAATGTCATATATTGTGTGTCTTATGTACTTCTTCAAGGTGAAATTTAAACAATCCACATTTATTGAATGAATAACAGAGGATGATGATCAAAACGAACAACAAATTAACTTATGTGTATATAAAGAAAATGTCAAGACACACATCTTTTGGTGCAATGGTTTTGGTATAATCATAGATACGTGGAATTGTTGTAGGTTTGGACAAATTGGTTGGATGAAACATCTTCAGATATAATTGACCCTAGAATTGATGTTGATTCAAGCTCCATTACAAGAGTCATACACATTGGGTTGTTGTGTGTTCAAGCAGATCCAGCTGATAGACCAACAATGGAGGAGGTTGTTGGCATGCTCACTAACACTTTATCTCTCGCTCTTCCTATACCAAAAATACGTATGCCAGAAGAGCTTGTGCCATCAAGGTTGATATCAAAGTATTCAGATACCTTTGAGAAATTCTTACTGTTCGATGACTATGATTCTGGGGCAGTTGAGGACTTCATATCAGAGTTATGCCCTCCATAGTGTTTCACAGGTATTTTGAATATATAACTCTCAAATCTCCTTATTAAAACCAGTGCTACAAGTTTTCTTAACACAAGGAAGAGAACTTCCTTACTTTACATGGTTGATACCATAAACAATCTTCATGGTTAGGAATTAAGGGTGTTCTGTGTTGTGGTCATGTATTCAATCTGGCTTGATATTTTTGTTGGCACTTTTAGAATAATTCTGTTTTTATTTGTCGGGATAGATGTTATGCCTATTTTCGTTTCCTTTGTGATGACCACAAGAACGCAATGTTATTGATGAATATATTTTTTTTAATCTGTGATCTTCCCTTCCACTCTTTAACTTTTGTGGGTAACACCATCTCTATATTCACCTTTGTTGGGTACCCTTTTTAATCTAAACTTCTTTTATATCCCAAATTTATTTTACTATTAAGATGTCTTCCTACTGTATTAATTTCTAGTTTTACCTTCATGGAATGACGTACCTGTTATAATTTGTGATGATCACAGGAAGCGAAATAAAGGAGAATGTTACATTGTTGAAAATCGCCGAAGAGAAAGGTAGAAGAAAGTTGGTGGAATATAATATGAGATTAAGATGGCTTCAATTACAAAGAGTTCTAATGATACTCTTAAGTCTTAAACCCCTAATAAATAGGAAACATTTATATCTAATAGGTTAACTAAGGATATCCACAGGTCATTGAACTCTATAATGTTTAATGGATTGCCAAATCAATATTTTACTTTTCATACAACTTTATCATTTAATTCTTACAATGTGTTAAACTCTATAAAGTTCAATAACACGTTAAAAAAAGTTTGTTTTTTTCACATTGAACAGTTCAATGTTCATCGAACTCTAAATCCATTGGATGTCAACTTGAAATCCCACAATGGTTTGGTTTAATCCACTTAATACCAACTAGACATTCTACATTATTCGGTCATTCTATTAAACCATGCATTGTTGATGCTTTAATAACCAAGTAATTAGCCCCATGAAGGAATAAATTCAGCTGCCATATAATAAAGTATGTGCAACACAAATAAAATCCCGCACATAAAAAAGGAAAGTGTGTTGATTTTTGTACAACTCATTGCAACATTGCTGGAAGAAAAAGTTGTTTTAGAATAGGAAAGTTGACACCATCAGCAACACTCCTAATAAAATCCCTTGTACATTGAATATTATTTGTGCATAGACTTAGTATATTGAATATTATATATTCTATGATATCATACAATACTTATTTCTTGTATGTTTTTGTAGTTGGGCGTAAAAGATGTTTGGAGTTATACTTTGAAACTATTGGAGGTGAACACAAGACATTACGCAGGTTTGAGTTCGGAACTATCAATGTCGCAACTGAGAAGTTCTCTGAGAATAATAAAATTTCAAGATGGGGATCTCATGATTTCATTGTGTACAAGGTATATATGTAGTCATGTATCTTATCTTATTACATTATTTTCAGGTTTCCAAGGACTGCTTAAAGCTCCAAATTAGTTCTCTTTTCAGGGAAGGCTGCAAAATGGACAAGGAGTATCAATTGCCAGACATAATTCCGGATCCAGATCTCAAGATTACAAAAATGAAGTGGCGTTGCTGGTAAAACTTGAGCATGAAAATTTGCTCAAATTGCTTGGATATTCCATTGAAGGAACACAAGTATTCCTCATCGACGAGTTTGCAGTGTGTGAAAGTCTAGATCACATGCTATTTGGTATGAATTTTTATTGTTTGAAACCTACAACCCATTCATATTCAAATGATAGATTTTAAGATTTAGATTAAACCTTGACAAACATGTGCTCCATGATGTCTTTGTAGATCGTGGATGTACTCTTTTGGACTGGAATAAGCGAGAAAAAATTATACTGGCTGTTGCTAGGGTACTTGTTTATCTTCACCAGCATGATGTCATACATGGTAATGTCACACCTGGAATCATTCTTTTAGATGAAAGCTTTGACCCCAAACTGTCAGATTTTCGGCATGATAATCAGCTCTCAACTAAGGATGATGTGTATAAATTTGGCGTGTTGATTTTGGAAACCATGACCGGGTATAATATACACTAGTTCACAGCAGACAAAATTGCAAAAATGGTCCCTGTGTTTATCAAAATTATATGGTTTTGGTCCAAAAACGTTTGATGGTGCATCGATGGTCCAATTTGAAAACCTGGTGTGGTTTTGGTCCCTATGGTTGTCATTTTTTTGTGGTTTTGGTCCAAATCCTACCTGAAATGACAAATGTGCCCTTATGATTCTTTTTTTAATTTCTTTTAATTATAATACTTTTATTTTAATTTTAAAAATACCAAAAATGAAATCCCATCCACCCAAACCCTCCCAAATCACATCCTACCCCACCTCCTACTTCTACATCATCTATCTCTTTCTATTCCAAGACTAAGAAAACACATAGAGATCCAAACATGCACTCAAAACACACAAACAAACTCAAATCATTCACGCCCCTGGTTATGTCAATTAAAAGAAATAAAGACGAGGAACGGTTACAGATCAAGATCAAAATACCGGTCTCCTCTTCCATTTTTTCCTCGAGTTGCAGGTATCCAAGAGAAAGAAGAGCAAGTCTGTGATGGTTATTTATTGCGCTTTTCCACTTCTCTTCTGAATCGAGCTCTTCCTCCACAAACCCCACCCTCGTATTTCCCCAGTCATCGCCATGAGACCATCCTGCCACCGCTGCCCCTATTTGTTCATCACCACCCCAACCATGTTTGTTCATCAACGTCGCTGCTGCTTGTTTATCATTATCATCTCCTTCACATCCTTCAAGAAAACAAATCTTAGATTCACTAAATCCCAAAGGAGATCAATTCAAACCAATGAAGATAAAAAGAAATGGTCAATCCCAAATTCAAGAAACCAAATCCTAATTAATTTACTAGTTAAGCCATCCAAAGCTTTAATGGTCAAAATTTAAACGGAGGCAATTAGTTTTCTGAAAACAAAGGACACGATGGGTTTTCTAAAAACCAATTTTGAAACCCCACTTGCCACGACGACCTGTATCACCACCATCGCTTTCGAATCCGGCGTAAACCCAGCCTCACCTTCGATGTAAACCCACCTTCACAAGGCTCCTAGCTTAAGGCTCCAACAGAAATTGTGAAGACGAAACCACCTATGGAGGAAGAGAAGTATGATTAGATGCAATCCCTAATTTTCAAAAATGGAGTTCATGAGGACTTTGAGAAGCTTCATCATTGTCGGCCATCGGAAGCCTTATTTCGAGTAGTGGGGATAAATGTTGATGGAGATCAAGAAGTTGGGGACGATGGTGGAGGGGATGATGAAAGTAGGGAACGAACAAGTAGGAGGGGGCGGATTGACCATTCTTTATTTTTTTTATTTTAAGTTAAATAAATATAAATTAAATTAATTTATGTATTTGAGCTATTAAAGAAAATGAAAAATAAAATTATATGGGCATAATCGTCTTTTAAGTGTATAGGGACCAAAACCAAAAAAAAGATCCAATTTTGGACCATTGGTGCACCACCAAAACTTTGGACCAAAACTACATAATTTTGCCAACCATAGGGACCATTTTTTCAATTTTGTCTTCACAGCACAACGAACAATAAGTATGATCAGATTCTTATAATGTTAGAATTGTGCTTCTACAATATGATTGTGTTTACTTTTTAAGGAGAAATATAAGCAGGCTACATGTAATGCATGAAGTATAAAGTACATCGATCAAAATGAATGACAAATTAACTTACTTATATTAAAAATGTCAAAAAGTACTTCTTTTTGGTGCAATGGTTGGAGTGTAACTTTAGGCATGTACAGTTGTTACAGGTTTGGAGAGATTGGTGGTTAGGAAAAGATAGAAATATGATTGATCATAGAATTGATGCCGATTTAAGAATCACAGCAAGATTCATCCTGATTGGGCTGCTGTGTATTTTAAATGATGCAGCTGACAGACCAACAATGGAGGAAGTTGTTGCCATGCTGACCAATACGAATCTTCCTATACCAAAACTACATATGCCAACATGGATTACAGAAAACGATTAAGGTGATACAGATGTTGCAGATGATACAAGTGTAAAAGCCAAAACATGTGTAAAAACCAACTGAAACTGTGAAACATACAGTATGCAAACTGCAAAGAGAAGTTTTCCTCAAAATCATTCTATTTTGGTAGTGAAATAAATAAATAAATAAACTGTAGTGAGCAATAAAGAAGAAAACAAGAATCATGATAGTAGCATAATTACATACTTAAGAATCTTCTGTTTCAGAATCTGACTCTGTATCTGACCGAAGTTCTACAGGTCTTCTGTTTGTGTTGGCTTCCAATGGGGGCATCCCATCATCTTCACTAGACTCTAGCTCCTCATTTTCCTGTGTGGTTGAAGGGTTTTTCTCCACTATGGCTGATTTAAAGATTTCTGGCCTGCATTAATAAAACAAATTGCAAATAAGTATTTTTTTTTATTGAAGAATTTGAGATCATTAATAACCAAACTAACCATTCTGGAGACTTTTGTAATGATCTAACTTGTTCATGGAAAAGAACTTGAAGAACAACACAAGCCACTTTCCTTCCAGACTCAACAGCCTCTTCTCTCCCACTATCATCAACCACCACAAAACTACCTGCAACATTTATTTCATTGTCTAATTCACCATTTTTATGGGTTAAATGCAAGAAATAGCAATGTACTTTCATTGATTTGTTCATTATTGCATCTTCCTTTCACTTTTCTCTTATTACAGCATTGTGTACTTTGAAATATCTACCCAATTATAGCAATGTCATCCATACACAAAGCAATTTTCACTGCTATAATTTGGTAGATTTTTCAAAGTACAATGCAACTGAAAGTACATGAACTCACACCTCGTTTTATCCACATGCTTTTCTGAAATTTAGCTGGGAAAATCGCCAAAGCTTTGTCTCCTTTGGCATCAATTATCTGTACTTAAATCAATCAAGTCATGTATCTAATCTAACCAAGAACAAGTGATAAGGATGTGGTGAATAACCTCAATTAGATTGGAGCCTCGAAGAGAAACAACTTGCATAATGCTTTGGCCTGGTTGTAGAGTTAATGTCTCATCATTAACAGCCCTCTTCAGATTCTTCCTTCCACCTTTTGTAGCCATTTTTCACGTTAATCACACTTGTAGATGATTATGGAGCTCTGTATCTAAAATCAACAAAATTAACACATTACATCACAATTACAGATCAGATCCATCCAATTAGATTTGGGGGGGGGGGGGGGGGGGGGGGGGGGGGGGGTTGCAGGGTAACTAGGAGAAAGTACTCACCGAGCTGGAGGAGGAAGCAGTTTTGAGTCAAACGAATTCAGGCCACAGGGGGTGTGCGATGGAAGGGAGGGGCTACTGGGCAGTGATGCCTGGACGGCCTGCTCACTGGTGCCGACGTTCGTTGGTGGTTGTGGTCTTGTGGACGGAGGCGTCGAGAGAAGAAGTCTGATAACCTTTTACTTTCTTCTTCGAATTAGCTTTAGGGTTTATGCAATTTCACCTATTTAATTTTTTTTAATAAATTGTAATTTTTTAAATAACTTGTAAGTGGATCTTAATTTTAAGAGTTACTCATAAAATGACGATATTTTGAAAATTGTTCGCATACTCGCCCTGATAAACTTTTCTATCGTATTAAATTTTTCCTCGAATCCGACCATAAACCCTGTAAAACACCCGAAACCCGAACAATGACAATATATATGAAAGCTTGGAGAAAACTGCAATTGCTAAACAACGAAAATTTAAAACCTTTATGTGCATGGGAGTGTTGGGAATCTCAAAAATCAAAACTTACTTGATGGGAAGATCAAAGTCATGGTCATTGCCGCTAAGTAGTGGAGGATGGAAAGTGATCAATGGAAGAGTGGTGACGTGGGGTCGTGTAATTGGTGTTTGGAGCTTTATTTTTCCTGTTTTGTTGCTTTGATTCTGAGGCACAACATTGATGTCCCCACTGCAATAGACGATAGTGGGGGTAGGTGTAACACCCTGTTTCAAATCGTTTCATAATTCGGGGTCGTGACCCGAATCTCAGTTATCATAAGGCTTTGGGCCTAGAGGGAAAGAAAGATTTAGACTCACTTTGGATGTGGGTAATGTGGATTAAGTGAACCGAGAGTTTGGTTGGTGCTTTGGAGCCCAAGGGTATAACTATAAAGTGATAGTTCTGGCCTTTTATGAATTTTGGATTTAAGTTCGGAAAGTTTTAAGGCAAATGAGATTTGATAGGGTTGTAGAGCTTCGCATTACCTTTCTGTGGATATAAAGATCGTCGAAAACGAAGTTGGAACGAAGAAGTTATGGTTGTTTGAAGTTAGGAAGGTTTTGGACTTAGTCTAGTATGATGGGCGTAAGGATGTACATTGGGCATACTAGGCATACCTGGAGTACGTTGGGCGTACTAGGCATACCTGGAGTACGTTGCGCGTATGCGATCAATGCCCAAACCCTATTTTCGTGGTTTGAGCCCTATTTAAGCTCCTTAACTTCCCCAAACTCATTCCATTCTCAGCCTCCACCTCTCCAACACCCTCCCTAGAAACCCTAGCCCTAGTTTGAGCCTTGTGAGCAAAAAGAAGGTGCTTTTAAGTGCCTTGGAGTGTTCTTGGTGCATCTTGTAGAAGAAGGAGCTCATTGGAGTAGTGTTTGTTGCATTGGAGCTTGTAGATCCAGACTTTGTTCACCTTGATCTTTTTTCTAGAGGTATAAATGTAACATCCCAAAAATACAGATAAAATTTTGTTTTTAAATTCATTCAGTTCATAAGAAAATGATATCAAAATAGTCAAAAGAGTATAATTGTATCATGTTATCAGAGTACAAATTCCCAAAATCACTAAGAGAGGAAAAACATAGAGTAATGCGGTGCGATCAGGTCGGGCCCTTCCCCTTCGAACTGGAAGTACCTGAAACATAAACTGAAAACCGTAAGCACAAAGCTTAGTGAGTTCCCTCAAAATACCACATACTAAACAAACATACTGCCAAGCATATCTGGGTGTTGGCCTACCCCCTTCGGTCTATTTCAATCGGATACTGCCAAGCATATCTGGGTGTTTGCCTACCCCTTCGGTCTATTTCAACCGGATACTATCAAGCATATATGGGTGCTTGCAATCCCCTTAGGTCTATTTCAACTGGATATCGGGTCTATTTCACCCCTACTACTACCACATAATATCATAACAAAAACCACAGAGTCATCAGGCAAATACAGGCATGACTGACAATTGTCACAAAGACAATCATCACACTACTACATAAACTAGTGGGGCGACCTTGGTGCCTTCGACCTATAAATACTGCGAAGGAAGACTCACCTCAGACTGTGGGTATCAAATCGCACTCAACGGATGACTCGCGAACTCCTCTCCCTATCGCACAAACATAAAACCCTAATTAGAAATTAGGTCACATTCTAACCCGAAAGTCCAAAACCCTAATTCTTGACTTAAGGCAAAAAGGCTCCTTTACCTTTGCCTTATTGAGCCTCCTTTCCTCCAAGGCCCAAATCCAAAAAAGAAAAGCCCAAAAAGGCATGAAAGCCCACTATAGGGCCTCTAAGGCCCAATATAGACCAAGAACACCTAACTTGGCCTAAGGCCCAAAAATGACCTGCTACCAACAGGTGGGTCCGAGGCCCAACTTACTTATAACGTCCCAAAAATAAGACCCAAAAATTTTCGTTTTAAAATTAATAAAACAAGTATCCCAAAAACATCATCATGAAAATCCAAATAAAACAAATGTATTAATCATCATATCACATCAGAGTAAATCAAGAAAATGCGGAACGAGGTGGTGTATGCTCTGTAATCATCTCGAGTTCTTCCCTTGGGAAACAGAAGTACCTGAAACATAAATTGAAAACCGTAAGCACAAAGCTTAGTGAGTTCCCCAAAATACCACATACCCTACATACATTTGCCATGGGCTACCCCCGGGATCTTTTCCCTGAAATGCCATGGGTTACCCCCATGGTCTGACATCCAAGTGCTATGGGCTACCCCCATGGTCGTTCCTTGAAATGTCATGGGCTGCCCCCATGGTCTGACATCCAAGTGCCATTGGCTACCCCCCCCCCCCCCCCATGTCGGCATTGGTGCCTTCGACCCATGGATATGGTGAGAAGACTCACCTCAGACAGCTGAAACCCACAGATAAATCTCTGACTGCAAATCCGCTAAAATCCTCGTGCTATCAATTACCATAATAACATCAAATTAATAATTGGGTCCCGACTCACACTAGGAGTCCAAATTAGGGTAAAAGACCTTTTTACCCTTCCTCTAACTTGGCCCAAGGCCAAGGCCCAAGGCCAAGGCCCAATCCAATTGTCCATAAAGCCCAAAATCTAAAATGATCATCCAAAGCCCAAATATGGCCCAATTTTCCAAATTGGGCCCAATCCCTTTCATGGTCCTTCTCCCACGAGAGTCCAACAAAATCCCAACAGCCCAACCAAAGAATTATGATGACCTGACATGGCCCAAGACAACCAAGCCCACCGAAGCCCAAAACAACGAAATCCAATCCTATTGAGTACGCGGGGCGTACTCAACTAGTGCGCTCAGCGTACTGCTTAAAGGGCGTGTACGTGCAGCGTACATTCTTGTACGCCCCGCGACTCGCCAACTTGGCCAACTTTCCCATTTTAGATCTTATTTAATTAAGATCACGACGCAAACTCAGATTTGACTTCCTTAAGGTGGTTAATCACATAAAGTTGCCAACTTTATGTGCATGCATGACTTAATGGGGCTCTAGAGCTCAAAAGAGCTTAATGGATGACTTAATGCATGCATGAGGCCATAAACACCATAAAGCTTGCACGTTTAAGCTTAAGAGACTCATAATATACCCAGATCTAAAAGGATAAGCCCCACAAACGACTTAACTCATCAAACCAACCCAAAAGGGACCAAAAGCATAAAAACCATGGCATGAATAGATCTAATCAAAGAGATGCCAAGATATGAGCTTTTTACCTTCAATGGATTGCAAGAGATGGGAAAATTCTGGATCTACAAGCCCTACTCCAAATGATGATCCTTCAACAACCTTCAATCTCTTCAAAATGCACAAAAACACTCCAAGATTCTTCACAAAAGCTTAAGACTTCAAGATGGTGGCTAAGGGGTCGAATATTAGGGTTTAGGAGGCTTGGAGGCTGATAAGGGGCAATGCTCAAGAATAAAAGATGTTTAAATGGGGGTAAACCCCTAAAAATGAGGGTTTCTAGTTGAAGGGAGTATGCCCCCCGCGTACCCCTTAGTACGCTCGGCGTATTCAAAAAGAACTCGCGACCTGGCAAGCCATTACGAACAGCAAGCCATTACGACCAGCATACTTGGTGAGTACGCCACGCGTACTCGACCAAACTCCAAAACACTTAAACTTCATTTGGTCATACCTCCCTCGATCTAAGTCCAATTTCGATGAACTCTATATCCACGGAAAGGTGACGAGAAGCCCTACACTTCTAACAATTCACCCACGCCTTAAGACCTCCCGAACAAAAACCCAAAATTCATAAAGGCCCAAACTGCCAAATTACAATTATACCATTGGGCTCTGAAACCCAATCGAACACTCGGATCACTCAACCTGTAACGCCCCGCTCTCAGGTATTAATTTTATGGCTTTAATTTTCATATTGCAAGGTCTACTCGACGAGTTGGATGCCCTGACTCGTCGAGTAGGAGCGGGTTTGGCCACGTGTTTAAGTGACCGACTCGCCGAGTCTAAGATAGGACTCGATGAGTAGGAGATGGGGGATGAAACCCTAATTTTCGGGGTTTTGCACCCTATTTAAAGAATCACAAGCCTCATTCAGCCTCTTTACAGTCCCTTAAGAGCTCGGCAAAACCCTAATACGTGTGTGTGTGTGTGTGCTCCATTGTGTGTTTTAAGCTTTGGAAGAGGATTCTTGGTGAGAAGAGCTTGGAGATCAAGTGACTAGAAGCAAGGAACTTGTGTGAATCTGATATCTACCTCAGTTGGCATCTAGTGGAAGGTATAAAGTCGTTACCTTGACCTCATTTTATTCTAGATCTCATTTGGTTAAAGATTAGGGCTTTTCTAGCATAATAAGAAGCCATTAATGGGTATAAGCGAAGATCTGAAGTTCTAACTTCAGATCTGGACTCTCCTTGGCCTCTAAGTCCATAAAGTTTTCAGTTTTGGCAAGTATGAACCTCTCCTCAAGTGTAAAACTCCATTACAAGCTTGGTTTTGTCATTATAAGACTTTAGAGTCTTGCATGCACGTAAAGTTTGCAACTTTATGTGATAAACATGCCTTAGGAGGCTGGATCTGCAATATGGAACCTTAAGATGGCTTAATAAGAATCTGTATGGATATGGACTGAAGGGACTCGGCGAGTTGCATGGTCAACTCGGTGAGTCCGATGAAGATTGTCGTGGACTCGGTGAGTCAGTGGGGTGACTCGGCGAGTCAACTAGGGGTTTTCCCAACTTTTGGACACGCATAGACTCGACGAGTTGGTCGGAAACTCGGCGAGTCAGTGAGGGTTTTATGACCTTCTAAAATCTTAAGGAACTCGACGAGTTGGGTCAACATGGACCGTTGACTTTGACTTGGACCAAGGGTTGACCAGCTTGACCTCTGGGGGTATTTTGGTAATTTGGGAATTTATGGAAGTAAGTCATCGGTGGATGTAGGTGTTCGATTTGGAGTTGCATTTGGTTGAGTTGAATTTATCGATTCGAGCTACTTGAGAGGTGAGTTCTCCTCGCTATATCAACAGGGTCTACGACACCAAGGCCAGCCCTTTATAATTTACATCCTGGTTTAGGATGGTTGTTATGTTATCGGTCTGTTAGATTTCATCCTGGTTTTAGGATGGTTGTTATGCTAGTAATCTGTTAGATTGATATCCTGGTTGTAGGATGGTTGCCATGTTAGTGATCTGTTAGATCTGTATGACTATCTGTTATTGCATGCTAGCGTATGATATTTATGTGCACATGTTTATTGGTTTGGGGAAAGGGTTGAGGCAGGTCCTGCTGTGTGCAGTAGGCCAAGACACCCTGGGCGGACCGGGTAGACTGCAGGCCCGGGCCAGGCAAATCTGGTCAGGCCGAAGGCCCAGCGAGCGGTCCGGATAGGCTGAAGGCCCCCGAGGAGGGCGGTCCAGACGTGCCGAGGGCTCGGAGAGCGGTCCAGACAGACTGAGGACCGGGAATCAGTCCAGTCAGACTGATGGATCATTATGCATGGTGTATTGTTTGCTTATATGTTTATATGATATGGTTATATCTGTATGACGTTGGTATTTTAGGGGTAACTCACTAACCTTCGAGCTTACATTTATCGATTATTGTTTCAGGTAATTCTGATGATCGCGGGAAGGCGAAGGCGTGATCGTACCACTCCTCACACTTTAT